TCAGTTTTTATTCGTTCAACAGGAAATAGAATTTTATTTCATTCCCTAAGTTTAAATTGTTATTCGACGAATAAAGGATGAAAAGTTGATAATTTATTCGTTAGTCGGGATTCTTATTTAGGTAGGAACTCTATTCGAATATTTTCTGACGAATAAAAAATCTGTAATTACGAGAACTTGACGCAAGGAGATATCATAATTCATTTCGTTTGTGTTTTATTCGTTGGTCGAAATTATTATTCCGACGAGAATTTTGCCCATCTCTGATAGGGAGTAACGTTGATCGATGTTAATCCCAGTAATAACTGTTACGTTTAAGTGTTTCAGTGTGACGTTAAAGCAAACATGGTCGAAATTGAAAATGGTGCGCTCGGATTCGATGAATAATTTATTATCCTCGTCACGCTCACGTGTGCCAGGATCTATCCTCAATCTTTATCACCGAAACCTCGACAAGATGCGAACGATATTTGAACAATACAGATAGGTATATAAAGTGACGTACAAGGTGTTCCTTAAACGGAGTATCCAAGTTAAGGAGTACGATATATTTATTTATTTATGATTTATTTCGTTAACTGCAATTATAAATTATAAATTTAATTTAATTTATGATTTATAATTACAATTATAAATTGCATTTAGTTAACGCGTTAGTGGCAAGAAATCATTTTTGTTACATTCCAAGATTTTGAAGAAACAATAAAACAATAACTTTTTATTAATATATTTGTTATACGTAGACATATTAATTAAAATTTCAAAAGAAAACGAATACTGCGAATTAAACAGTAGATTATATCAATAATTTGTTCCATCGACAAGCTCATTGAAAAAGTCGCGTTGAATTGAAACGTTAGAGTTTGGAGTAATTTATTTACAATTAGAAGAATCTATTCCTAATATTGGGCACTTCATTTTAGAGACACTTCGTGCATATAATATTTTTTACACGCAATATTTTACTTGAACCGATAGTATTTCCGTAGCAAAGAATAGGATAAGTGGTCGATGTCGTGTTACTTGAAATTAAAGTATTAATTTTGTTTCGCGTAGAGAGCGTTCATGTATAATATGTGTAAGAAAATTTACGATACGTAGCTTAGGGATATTATTCAAACGATGACTCGATTGAACCTTATGTACAAATTGCTTCAATTATTCGATTGTGATAACGTCAAAGGGATTCCAAAGAATTGCCTGCCTAATTGCACCAAGAGCAATTTATATTTGCAGATTGTACAATTCGCTCGAGGCAGGGTTACCAACGCTTTTCAGGGTATGTGGACTATTTCTGAGATTTGAAGAAAGAATTCAGAAATATTCATATTTATGGAGGCATAAATTATGTTTCATTAAATTTTTTAACCGGATACCCATATTATTCAGTGTATAAAAAAAAAAGTTATGGCAGTTTTTGCAGTCCTCCCCACTCTCTCAGAGTACTCTTTTTTTTTCTTTTCTTTTTTTTAAATTTAAAATGGTAACCCTAACTTGAGGAAAACTCGCAAACGTAGTCCGCAAACTATACGAGGGTCTGAGAATCATAGCGGTGCCGACAAAACCATTCCTTTTAATTAATATTTAAAAAAGAACTCTGCCATTTTGGTATTTTTCTCGATTTTTAAATTGTACATAGTAACAAAAATAATTATTTCAGTTCTCCATCAGGAGATATAAAATTCAAGTGTTGCTGGATTCTTAGTCTTTTAAAATAAATACCGAACTAAATATATAAAATATATTGCAATTGCACAAAATGAACCACAATTCGTTGAAATCAAACCTCGAAATGTCCGCCGTTAAAATATACATAAATTGTTCATTAATAACACGGTTTAGAATGAAATCAACCGATTCAAACTACAGCTGATTATTCTGCTCTTAAAAAAAAAAAAAAATTATTTTACGTACAACCCAGTCATTAGAAATTAAATTAATTAAAGTTAAATTTCCGACGATGCTTCCGTTTATTTATACAATCATTTCAGTCATACTGTTTATGTCGCCTTTTCGCTCGCACTATGATTCTGAGCCCCTATTATCATTCACGCTATGGTGCTCCTAAGTTCCTAAAGTGGTTTTTCACAACACAAAAAGACAGAGATAATAGAAGGTACGTAGTCGCACGCCTTTCGTACTTCGTTATCGTTAGACTGCGGATGTTTATCAGACTCAGATTAAGAATCGAGATTTAACACGTCGGCTGCCAGATAAAAAATTCGTGAAAATTACTGCGTTGTTAAAATTTTATCTCGAGACTGTCGATGACTCGATAATTTAACATTTGGTCGTAATATTTAATTTTGTAACATTTCAAAATTGACAAATCTTATTTAAATTTATTTTCATTATCGCCTCTTCTTTTGCATTAATTTGTTTAGTTCCTTAAGGAGGTGTTCTGGTTTGAACGACTGAAAAACAGTCGATTTTCTAGAATTTTCTTTTTTCTTTCTGTTTTTACTCGTACTGTTTCCACTGACAGTTGGTTTAGAATAAATATTGCAACATTGTATTGGGCTCTACAATCCGTGGTTTTCGCGACATTTTTACAATTACGCATACAAATACAATTTTAGAATTTGCGGAAATTTTAAACCAGTACACCCTCCCCTTAATGAACAATCCTGTGGTTTCTGGGTAACATGGCAATTAACGCGTGTTAATTGAATCTAACGTCTATATTTTCTAAACAGGAATTTCAACAATCAACATTTTCTCTATAACACGAATTTTATTATTAATATTCCATGTAGTATATCGTGAAAAAAACGGAACCCTCCTCCGCCGGGATTCGAACCCAGGCTCCACGGAATTGTAGCCTGCTACGTTACTCGCTACACTAAACACCATCCGTCTTAATATCTCATGTATTTTGCATTTATGCGCATCCTTATACAGGGTGTCCCAAAAATGTTGTAACACCTTGAAAGAGGTGGTTCGGGAGGTGATTTCAAATAACTTTTTCCTTAGCGAAAATGTTGTCCGAGGCTTCGTTGAGAAGATATTAACGGAAAACACTGACCAATCAGAGCGCGCGTATACCGTTGGAGCGGCCGCGGTAGCGAATGAGCGCGGTCGCCTAGCGCGTAGCCTACGCTCAACCGGCATACTCGCGCTCTGATTGGTCGGAGTTTTCGCTTAATGTCTCCTTAACCAAATCTCGGACAACATTTTCGCTAAGGAAAAAGTTGTTTCAAATCACCTCCTGAACCACACCTTTCAAGGTGTTGCAACATTTTTGGGACACCCTGTACATTTCCCCATTCACTCGCCATAAACGCACAAACATCCGCAGTGTAGTTATCGTTAACGAGAATAACATTAGCATTAATTGCGTTGGAAAAGGATTCGCTGTTTGTTGACGCGCGGTTGGAAAAATTTTTCTCGAATTTCGAGAAACGCGAAAAGAACGAGTGTGGCGATCGTGTGAATCGGAAGGGTAGAGCGTGACGAGGATAATAACGAACGTGTTTGATCGATCCTATCGTTTCCACCGATTCGAGATGGCTGCGATTTAGGTACTTATAGATTCGTGATTCGTGATCGGCGATGATTCGCCGGCTCGTTAAATTAATTGCGTGTCGGATTGGAATGGATGCTCGGCTCGACGAGATTGTTATCGTTGTACCTAAAACTAATAGATATTACCGTAAAGAGACGGACTATCGTTCTCTCGCTATTTATTGTATTGTAACGATGGGTATCGATGATATACCGAGAAATAAAAACTATTATTACTCGAAATAAACGTTCGCTCGATATTTCGCGACACCCTTCGCCTTCTCTATATCCTTGCCTGTCTCTATAATTTAGAGATTGACGGATATTTATATTTTTCTTTGTATTATTTGGTAAGAGCCTTACAGTATTGTATTGAAAGGATGCAGGTGAAAATTGAAAAATTAATTTTATAAGGTTTTGAATTAAACAATGCCTTTTAAAATATTTAAAAGACTGTATATGTATTTAAAACTCTGTGTGCTAAATTTAAATGTATAATAGTTAAAATCGGCTTTTTTGAAAAGGAAGATTTATTTTTGGACTAAAAATCAGTCTTTCTATAATTATGTGGGTAGGAATCAAATATTTTAAACTTTCGAGTCGAGCAATTCACGCTTGTTTTATTTCAACAATAATGACGAACAGTTACAACGGTATAACAGAACTTGAAACGGTAGAATGTAACAATGTAGGTACTTATTCGAATTGCGCAATGCTTCGAGTGTTCATTATTTTTCCCGAAATAGCTCTCAACATAAAGCTCGTTAAATTTCAATGAACGAAAATTCGTGGGTGTGTTATTCGAACACAGTTTCGATTGGACTTACGGATTATTTGAATAACTGTCAATTAAACACAACGACGACGTTTATCGTTATACCATATAACAACAATCTGCGGACATTCTTTGCTACCACTTAATTTATCAAATTTCTAGAACTCAAGAATGCTTCCGAGGTTCTAGATAACATAATTGATACTTTTATAAATTCTTCTCTTTTTATTTTTAACGTATTTTTGTATTATTTTCTAAACAGTATAAACACGAGAATTTTATTATTAATATTTCATGTAGGAATATCGCGTGAAAAAAGTGGACCTCCTCCGCCGCGATTCGAACCCGGGCTCCACGGAGTTCCAGCCTGCTACGTTACTCACTACGCTAAACACCGTCCGTCTCATCTTACGTTAAACCTTTTCATTTAAAGTTCACCTGAAGAAGATCAAGATAGTCGCCAGTGTTTATGCCAATACAGGGTGTCCCAAAAATATTGTAACACCTTGAAAGGAGTGGTTCGGGAGGTGATTTGAAACATCTTTTTCCTTAGTGGAAATTTATACGAGGCTTCGTTGAAGAAATATTAACGGAAATACGCTACCGCGGGCACTCCAGCCTGATACTTGCGCTCTGATTGGTCGGCCGCCTAGCGCGTAACCTATCGCGGGCGCTTCACTGTAATACTCGCGCTCTGATTGGTCAGAGTTTTTCGTTAATATCTCCCTAACGAAGCCTCGTATAACATTTCCGCTAAGAAAAAAGATGTTTCAAATCACCTCCCGAACCACTCCTTTCAACTGTTTTTGGGACACCCTGTATATTGTAACCATGAATTCCAAAGCGACACAAATTGTATAAACATCCGCAGTCTAATCACTGAGAAACACCTCGATGATTTTCTCGTCTCAATTGGTAAATAAATTTAACTAACCTCAATTACAAATCATCTCTCGCGTCAATTAGCGAACTTACGCAGTTTTGGAATTCATGGCTAAATTTGTAAATTTCCCAGCTGTTTATCCCTCTCACGACCAACATTTTCATTTATTCCAAGTGTTCATTGTTCATTGGCCATAGAACAGTCCTCCAGAAGGATCGATCTGGATCGATCGCGACGTCCACTGTTTCCCTAATGATGGTCAGTGATGTGCCGGATAATCGGCGTACCAGCTGAAACCTCCGTTGCCGGCCGTGTAGCCCCCGAAATCCACGTAATCCAGAATCGGTGAGATCGATCTCTCCGAGCGTGGGTTCTCCGGATCGTCTTGGTGAACGCTAGGAACCGCTACAGGTACATGAGCGTCGATTTGTCGCGTGTATCTGGTCACAGCCGGCGCGATCGGGCTCAGCTCGATCACGTCGACCCCGTCCACGGGTATGGCTAGGTAACGACGACCCCCCAAAGCACCATACACGCCGCACAACAGAATCAATGCTGCACTCTGAAATACCATAATCGGGGATTTAAGAGTGTATGCTAGATTAAAACTTTCAAAATATTGTTACGGAATCAGGAGGGAACGTAAAGGAAAGTGAAACTAAATAATTCGTTTTATTCTATTTTCTATTAACTTTTTGCATACGAATAACGGACCTTGGTACTCGTGGAAGATAATATAGATCATTAGCAACATTCAAGAACTGGTATCGATATGATTTCGCTTGAAATTAAAGAGTTATAAATGATTTTCGGTGATTAGTTGGGGCAGAATTTAAATTTCGCGCCGGTGGCGCCATCTACCGGTGCTGTGCGAAAGAGAAAGATGTAGTGTGCGAGAAGGATAGAGAGCGACGGCGCTGGAAACAGTGCGCATGCGCAGGCTACGCTCGTATATTCATCGAGAGACTCGATAAGTAATAACCCTTTGCACTCGAGGCCTTTTTCTCTGATATCTATCAATATCTATCAGTAACTCGAGATGCTTTCTTAGCATTCTATTGTCACGAATGCTAATCTTAGATTCACTTCGAAAATGAGATCTCTAATTTGAGATTTGAGAATCGAGAAATTTCAGATTTATTCGAAGCCTAGGATTTTGCCCACCTCTGGTTCCAAAGAAAGTAAACGTAAAGAAAACCGAGAGTTACCTCTCGACTGCAAACGGATAATTTATATAAAAGTGAAAAGCAAAAGTAATGCTCGTAATTTTTAATTCCCAAGTAATCATCCCGTAAAAATAAATGTATCCTGTATGCGCAACAAGTATTAAAGAAATCTATGACGAGTTTAAGAACCTCTAGAGCTGGTAATATATGAAACACAATTGTCGCAGCGTCAAATGCAGGAGATGACGTCCTCGATGACATCGTGCCGGTGGTTAAGCCGATCGGTCGTGTTTTGTCGGTTATTAGTTATTTTACGACGGGCCAATTGACTGGTATTTGCAATTTAAGTGCGCGATATCATCGACGTAACGCGAACTACCTCATCCGGTGATTAGCTGTTCGGCTAATGGGACCAATTAGATCGCGTTCCCATTTGTTTGTTGCGAAAGCGACGAGTAGATTTCTTTGTTCCCTTAAGTCGTTCGTCGCGTTCAGATAACAATAGCGTGTGTACCGCGTACGCAAATATTTTCACATTGTTATCGTTACCATTTCATTCATTTCAACAATTAGCGTTCATTTTCGAAAAGAATCAGAAAAGAATGCGAAGCGAAAAATTATTCGAATTAGATGAGAAAAAGCGAAATTTACCAAATTATTCATCGTCGATTTGCTGGTTGTCGTCGGTAGTTTAGATATTCGTCGAACTGATGAGAGATGGCCGTGTTTGGAACGTTTTATACGGTTTCGCTTGGCCGCAGCTTTCTCGTCTTTCCCGATCACCGAGCACCGCGACAGCAATTACTCTCGGTACTTCTTTACTCGGTATTTACCCTATACCAGACCAATTGCGGTCTCGGGATGCTGGCACGACCGCAACAAGCAAAAATAGCTTGGGGTGTTTTCTTTTTCTTCGTCTAAGAAGTGATAACGCGAGTACAGGAAATCGTCAAAGTACTTTCGCTGGTTTCGGAAGCATACCATTACGAATACAACTCGGATCTCTCGTTTTCGCGAACGAATCCATCGTCGTTTAAACTTGATTCCACGGAAATTTACCCGATACAAAATTACTACGATTAGTTTCTGAATCATGCTCGTCGACCAACAACCGCATCCACTTACAGAAAATTGATAATACCGTTGTTCGTCGGATGAGCAAGTGTCGTTACGTACCGTTCCAGCGCAGCAACTTCCAATATCGTTTCTTCGTTTTCCATCTCCTCCGGTAGAACTTTGGCCTCGGTTTTTCGTGGTCGTCCGTTCGTTTCCGACTTTTACCGATCGACAAGAAGCTCCGAAAAAAAGTACGCCTTGCGTCGTGATGCCATAATCCGAGAAAGCGGGATCCAGTGAAAGGAAACGACGATTTAGGGATTCGTTAGTTAGCGATGGGATTGATACGGTGTATAGAGGGTGTTCCAGAAATGTTGGAGGTCCTTGAAAAGGGGAGGTGGGAAGTGGTTCGGGGGGTGATTTGAAGTAACTTTTTCCTTAGCGAAGATGTTGTCCGA